ATGTATATGTATCTTATATGTATATTGATACTTACCCTAACGTTAAGCTACAAGCACTGTTTACAATTCTCTTTATTTAAAATGTCCCAGTTGTAACTACAGACCTACAAAATCTACTAAGAAAACAGAAACAAGTGCCCTACCAGACATGAGCCACAGGCCAGGTTTTAGTGGCTCAGCAGTTCAAAGCACAGTGAGATTCAGCGCATGCCAATGAGAGTCTCCACCACACACAAATATGGCTACAATAAACATTTCTGAAATCTTCTTTTAAAAAAATATCTGCTTTTGTTAACTATTAAAGTTTAATAATGCTTGAATTGTGCCATATTTAGTTCAGTCTTTTAGCTACCAATTCCACCAAGGACAACTTGAAAAGGAACTAATTCTCAGATGCTACCCTATGGTTGTCTTTCCTCAAAAGGAAAAGAAAAACTACACCAGTGAATTCATTCTCAATTCATACGAAAGTCTTTCCTCTTCCTCAGCATTCCTTTCTCCCAAATAGTCAAAGCTTTAGACACTAATACATTTTCCTAACTTACAGATTGAAGAACAACTTTTTTTTCCCCTTCCAGTGCTAAAAAGTAAACCTAGGGCCTTAACGTGGAACTACATACTCCCAACTTACTCTTTTCCCCAAAAAAGCAAATATCAAATTTAATTGAAGGGAAACAAGCAGAAATTGTCTTGCAGAACAATTGAACAAATCACTCCTGAGGAGATCAGCAACTTGGTGATCACATTTATTGGGACAGTTGGACAAAAATTAAAATGCTGAAGAAGTTGTAAGTTACTTGTAAATCTACTCATCTCAGGGTAGAGAATCCTTGATCGTGTCTTAATATCAAAAAGTATGCAGGCTTCTCTCTTTGAACATTTTGTACATTTGAAGAGGCAACTGTTTCCCATTTTCTACACAGTATACACAATTCTGTTTCAGTCAACTCTCAGAGGAAAGACAACAAAGATAACACCATCTCCCCACACAAAGAACACTGAATAGTCTCTTTTTCTTAGTATGTTTCTTCACCAATGTCTATGGTGGTCACAGTTTCTCCCACACCTCCCAGTATCATGTTTACATGTTGGTCATAAACACGTAATCTGCCTCGAAGCTCAGTCCTTTCTCATATTCACAAAATCTCTCATCCAGGCTGAGCCTGATGAGAGCCAGGAACTCCTCTATGGTTTATTGCTGGCCCATGTTCCAAATCCCCCCAATCTACTTTTTTTTTTGGGGGTGGGGGTGCAGTCCTAGGGCTTGAACTGGGCGCCTAGGTGTTCTTCCTGAGCCTCTTTGTACTCAAGGCTAGTGCTATACCACTTGAGCCATAGCACCACTTTGAGTTTTTTGTGAGTAGTTTATTCTCCAATATGAGATACGAGCCTCGTGGGCTTTCCTGTCCAGGCTGGCTTCCAAACATGATCCTCAGATCTTAGCCCCTTGAGTAGCTAGGATTAAAGGCGTAAGCCACTGGTACCCAACAATAATGTTATTTTGATTATTGAGCCCTAGAAAATAAGGCAGTCAAAACAAGATTGGTATTTAAAAGCCTTTTTATTTTCCAGAATAAAGGCTTTATCTATTATCTTAAAGTCTCTAATGTAGTAATTACACTGTTGCTTGAAAACTACTAACATTTTGCCTCCAACTATAATTTACATATCAGCATGGCAACCCTAATTTTATATTAACTTTTCTCACAAAGCATGTTTGAGGCTTGCTAATGGGCCAAGTACAGTAGTGTGAGCCTATAATTCCAGTACTTAGAAAGCAGAAACTGGACAATGAATCTGAAGCCAGCCTGGGAAACTGTCTCAAAAAAATGATAAAAATGTGACATGGGCACCAGTGGCTCATGCCTTTTATCCTAGCTACTCAGGTTAGATCTAAGGATCATGGTTGGAAGCCAGCCCAGGCAAAAAAGTCCTTGAGATTCTTTTTTTGGGGGGGGGGGTCGTGGGGCCTGAACTCTGGACCTGGGTGCTGTCCCTCAGTTCTTCAGCTCAAGGCTAGGGCTCTACCACTTTAGCCACAGCGCCACTTCTGGCTTTTTTCTTTTTGCTTATGTGGTGCTGAGGAATCGAACCCAGGGCCTCATGCATGCAAGGCAAGCGCTCTACCACTGAGCCAACTTCCCAGCCCCGTCCTTGAGATTCTTATCTCCAATAAACTACTCAAAAAAAAACTGTAAGTGATGGCTCAAATGGTAGAGTACTCACCTGGAGCAAAAGAGGCTCAGGGACTGTGCCCAGGGCCAGACTTCAAGCCCTAGGACCAGGGGGAAAAAAAAAATCTGTGACATATTTAGTATAAAGCCTCTCATAAGAGCACACCATTTATATTTCAAAACCACAAAATCAAGCCAGAGGCCAGTGGCTCACGCCTGTCATCCTAGCTACTCAGGAGGCTGAGATCTGAGGATAGAGGTTCAAAGCCAGCCCAGGCAACAAAGTCTATGAGACTCTTATCTCCAATAAACTACTAGAAAAACAG